TCATCCGTCGGGGTAACTTTGAATGGTCACCTTACAGAGAGTTCAAAGCAAAACCTGCTGACACTCCTGTAGAGGGGTGGCAGCTGGGACAGCTGCGTCTTCTCCGGGACAGAAAAATAGACATTGGGTAAAATTTACGGGTCCGTCATCCGGGAAAAGGCTTGACCCGACTCCGGAGGGGAACGGCTCGGACGGGGATGTCCGGCAATCCCGCAGCCCAAATTGCGTCCTTGGCAACAGAGCAGGGACCAATAGAATTGAAGGGGACCAGCATTTGGACCAACCAAAATCTCGAGATTTTGGGAAGAAAAAGGTTATAAAAGCCTGAAATCCCAAGGAAACGGGGAGGTTGGGAGAAAACAGTCCAGTCGACTCAACTTGGGACTGTAGGAGCAAAGGCTAACAAACTAAATATGGCAGAAGAGTTTAGGGACCAAACTTCCCTCCGCAAAATTTTCCACAATCCAAATTAAGGAATTAACTTCCCAACAGAACATTGTGAACGCCGTGATCTTGTGCTACGTGGACCTTGCTACCACTTCCTCCTTCAGCTGCCAAAAAGGAAAATCCTCTACAACCTATGCAGGAGAACCTTTTCCATTGTGTGACTCACGTGCCCCTGGGAAGGACTCTCCATCATTTGATACAATATCTTTTCGAAGGACAGACCAGTGTTTCTATTGTAAGCATGTTTTTATCTAAATAAATGCATTAAATTTGTAAATACGGTCTCTGTGTGAGTCTCTTTGCATCCAGCAAACCACTATCCCCATATGGAAAAGGCTTTCTTGTGTCATCCTGACAGATCGCGGGCAAAGCGAGTGTTGTAACCTTTAACTGAAAGGTCAACCTCACAGTGGTGTCTCCTCTTCACATCTTTTTAGCTGATCCATAACTTGAAATAACAGATTTTTCCCTAGCTTCATCTCTGGTAATTGTCATATTTTTTCAACCTTTAATCAATAATTGGATGTTTCTGGATAATGAATTTTAAAAAACACATTGGACACTGCAAACTAACCACATGATCATCACAGTTCTCACTACTAATGTTGCATGTTAGTGTCCTCCTGTGGCACATTGATTAGTGGAGGAAACTATTTCCAACTTAACACTTCCAGATATGCACGTGTGTGCAACAAAGGTGAGCCACACTTTTTTTTTGCAGACATGTATTCTGAAATATCACACCTTGAAATCATGCTCATGTAACAGTAACATTTCATACTGACGATGTCACCAAAAGAAGCCCAGAAATGTTGTGTTATCAGAGCAAACTATAATGGACGAGATTTTTAACATATCAAAAAGTGCTAATGATCATATGTACTTTGTCTCTTTTTGGCAATTATAAGTCAAATATAAATAGTGTATATAATAAATGTATAGTTTGTAAGCTTTGTTATGGCATAATGTACAATTTTGTAATATACGAGGGTGGTCCCAGAAGTACCCGACCTGACATAGATGGCGGTACTTGTTTGGAAAAAAACCGACTGTGTTCAAAAGTATCAACCTTATAAAGCTTAAGTTTGAAGTTTGAAGACCTTACGTTGTATAGTATTTTCTTGGCAGCCATAAATAGTGAACAATCTCAGTGAATTTGTAAACATGGAAAAAATTTGTCATCGTTATGTGATACAATACTTTCATTTACAAGAAGTCCAACCAATATTAAAGCTGAACTAGATTCTACTCTGGGGGAATCTGCTCCCTCGTTTACAACAATAAAATATTGGGTGGCAGAGTTTAAACGAGGCCGTACGAGCTGCCAAGACGAACTTGTCAGTGGTCGACCAAGTGAGGTGACCATGCCAGAAATACAGGTATACCTCGACTTACGTCGTTTCGAGTTACGTCGTTCCCGATTATATGTCGTTTGTCAAAAAAGTATATGGAAAAATAAAAATCAAGTTTAAGTTATTTTATTCGACTTTANTATATTAAACAGTATATATCTATAGACAGGTAGACCGCATCAGTATGGGATCAAAGATGGGACCAAAATTAGCAGAATTAGCTATGAAAAACATAGATGAAAAATAAATAATATCCCAAGCATAAAACCTGTAATGAGGTATGCTTAGATTACTTACTAATATACAATAATAAAACAAACGATAATATTATTCTTAACTCGCTAACAAAATTAACAAAAATATTCAATTTGATATTGAAAAAGAGAACAATAATAAAATAAATTACCTTGACATAACAATCATGAATACACTTAATAACTTTTCTTTCCTAACATACCAAAAACTCTGTAATGTTAATAAAACTATCAACTACTACTCATATATTCCCGAATATATAAAAAAGAATATTTATATCATGGAGTTAAAAAACATATATACAAGAATATCAGATAATAAATGGCAAAAAATTAAAATAAATAAGTTAGAAACTAAATTTTTACTTAATGACTTTCCTAAATCAAAATGAAACACATGGCAAAAACAATACTGGAAAAATAGGTTTAATCTATATATATAAAAATGAATGTATGTCTGTCTGTATGTCCTTCATGCATTACCACACCGTTTATCTGATTGCTATGAAACTTTGGGAAGTTGTTTAATATACTCCCGCGAAGGTTTCTGGAATAGTACGATTGCCATGAAACTTTGGGAAGTTTTTTAATGCGAAGGTTTCTGGCATAGTACATTTATCCTACGATAGATGCTGCGAGTGTATACGAGCATTTCATCATGAGTTCGATTGATTTCAAATTGTGAAGACCATTTCCCCCCTCCAAAAAATATCTCTATATATGCATTTGTAAACTGTTATTTACAATATTTGTAATAATTTTTGTTTAATCACTTTATTTCAACTTTTTTTGCTAATTATGTATTTGCTTGAACTTTGTTAAAAGCTTAACTGTATCCCTAACAACAACCGAAGTTGTAGGAGGAAATTTGCCTATTTTACCAATCTAAGGAACCCCTTTTCCAAAATTTAATATCAACTCAAAATAATTTAAAAAGACAAATTACAATAAAACGGTTTATTATCCAAACTATCAGAAATTTCACAACATGCCAAGGAAGAAAGGAAGAAGCAATTAAATAATTAAAATTATAAAGGATTAAAAAATATATACAAAAATGGGGAATATCACACTTCTCCCCCCTCTTGTTTTTGGTGCTGAGTGTCGTGATGAGGCTCAGACCTCTACAATGTTTACATATTAAACGAAGAACTTAGTCAAAGCAATCAATGAATAATGATTGAGAACTATCCCAAAGCAAAGATGAGTCACGTCAACGCAATGATGATTCTACGAAGGTTCAATGTCATTACCAAGTAATAAAACACCATCTCAGCTACGATGACGACACTGCCAATAAATCACACCCAATGACGAATTTTCTCATGCCAGAAGGGTTTAAAAAAAAGAGCTCCAACCAGAGAAAGGAGTAGAAAAAGAAGTGGAGAAAAGAGAGAAAGTCACAGAGAGCATGAGAGAACGGATGAGCACCAGACCAGACGAGCACCAGAGTAAGAGTAGCTCAAGAGAAGACGAATAGTGAGTTGAATCAATTTCAATTCTCATAATCTTTCGAATACTGATTTTTCCCATTTTTCTCAGCGAATTTGCGAGCATTGTCAACAGTTATGCCCCCCAAAATGTCAATCAATTGGTTGATCTACATCTCAAGCACAAAAGAAAAAGGCATTATGAGCTTCAGAAACAGTCGAGGAATAAAAAGCAAGATTAGAAGCCTATCAAGTACACATTGCTCAAGCCCGTTCTTCTCAAATGAACAAGCAACGAGAATCAAGATTGGAAGCCAATCGAGTACACACTGCTCAAGCCTGCTCGAATGAAACAATTGACCAATGGGGAGTAAGACTGGGAACCAATCGAGAATGCAATGTTTGATCCAGATGGACACTGCACACTGATATGAATCTTGCTGTATTCCATTACAATGCTGATTATGATTACAGTCTTCATTGAAGTGGCGTTATTGAAAAGATGGACAAGTTATGCAAATTTTGCCGTGCATTGAAATTCAAGAATGAAACACCAGGAATGTGCTGCGCAGGTGGAAAAGTGAAATTGCCAGAATTGCATTTACCACCCGAACCATTATCAACGTTGGTATCAGGTGACACAAGCCAGTCGAAACATTTCTTGGCAAACATATGCAAGTACAATTCATGTTTCCAAATGACATCGTTCGGTGCAACAGAAATCATACGTGACAATTATATGCCAACGTTCAAAGTGCAAGGGCAAATTTATCATTGTACTGGATCACTTCTACTACTGCCGGATGCAGATCACAAATTTCTCCAAATTTATTTCATGGGAGTCAGTGATGAACAAATTGATCAACATTATAGGTATACCTGTATATCTAATTTAAATCTTTTAAGGAAAAATTTCATCAAAACTCTGTAAGAAATTTAATGTCATCTTAAATAAAATGTAAGAGCTTTTAGATTATATAAGTGAAGTGCAAAAGCCAGAAGCATCTTGACTGAAACGTCATTGTGCACACGAAAAAAAATTACTTTAAAAAGTCTGATTTCTTTAAGACAGATGACAGATTTCTAAAAAAATGATGACAGTTATCATCACTGCTAAAAAAAATCCAAATGGAGTCTATCAAAGTCTTTCTGTCCAAATATAGAGCTACACACTTGAAAATGGGATGCAGAAAAGTCTTCTCAAAGTCATAAAAGCAAATAACAGCTGAAGAGAAATGTTATCAGTTGGCACAAATATTTACTAAAGTGGTCAAAACTAATTACAATGCCACTTAAAAAGCTAACATAATTTAAGCAAAAGCAAGAAAATCTTTGGTTCAAATAGGGATAAGATATGCAAAAATGCTTTACTGCGTTTCTAATCTGATTTAAAATTATATAAAGACTTTTTATTAAAGATATTATAAATGAACACACACAATTTTTTATTGCTCTGATATATTTTAAATTTTTATTAACTTATTTTCATTACACATACAAATTAATATAAAACTTACTGTTATACTTCCAAGCACTTGCATTACATTGGCTGAGCGCCACAAAAACCCTTTTCTTCCAAACAGTAAATCAGTAAAATAATATCTAATATCCTTCCAATTAACTGTCTGAATAGGAATAGTAGAACTTTCTTCTAATTCTTCAAAAGGATCAAAGGGTTTCTAAAAGTTAAAATATTTTTACTTAACATATTAAAATATCAGTCACAAAATGCATATGGTAAGAATATAAAAAACAAAAATTGTGTGTTAACTTAGATTTACAAACATTTCACAATTTTTCAATTTTTTAAGATGTAAAATTGTTTATGTTTTGTTGCTAGTTAGTTGTAAGTGAATTTTTGCAAATTGATTTCTATTAGGTGATCAAACAAAATGAAGACTTGCAAGAAACAGTGCAGAGTTTGATGAAATGGAAGTCAGACTTACCAATAGTCATGCTTATACATTATAAATAAAAGTTTATGATATTTAATTTTAAAATAGTTAAATTTTATAGTGATTAAAAATTTTCTTACTTGTTCAGCTTTGTAAAGTTGCACTAAAAGTAAAAGTCGAGCCATACCACACACATTCAATAATAACCAGCAAAATGGTAATGCCAAAGATAAAAGTGGAAGGATTGTTAAAGCAGGACGAAAGACAATTAATTCAGTCCAACTTGATTGTTCTGGTGCTAAATAAACAGAATGAAAAATCCCAATACACACGGTCAAAACCTACAGGGGAAAAAAAAGTGATTACTCTGCTTCTGAAAAATAAAAGCAAAAGAAAATTTTACAATGAAATTTTTAAATTTGCACCTTGTATGCCGNCAAAAGAAAATTTTACAATGAAATTTTTAAATTAATTTTTTATTTATAGAAATAAAAATTTGTTTACTTTTCAAAATAAAAATTTAGATTTTAAACTGAAATTTTGTTTTTAATCTTTTTGTATTCCATTATCTTTAAAACAACCATTTTGAAAAAATTAATAAGTTCATTTTAAAAAATTAAATAATTTTCATTTTAATAATATCTTTCCTAGTTTAAATATTTAAATAAATATTAAACTGTGTATACATAATTAAAAGTTTGCATAATAATTAACAGAATATTAATTATGGAAAATTCTAATTATGCATAAACATGCTTTGTAAATGAAACTTCAACAAACCATTTTTATCTTATTACACAGTAAAAGTTAGGGTTTTAAGTTTTGGTTTAAGACTTTCTGTTTTTTATAAATATTTGATAAATGAAAATAATGCCACTTTTAAATTAAGCATTAGAAAAAGTATACATACCACTAAAATAGGAATTATGATACATTCCATGTAATAAGACACAACCATATGTCGTTCTCGATTAAAAAGTGTAGGTGGACGTTTTAAAGCATGTTGAAGAGCAAATCTAATAGAAGAAAAATTGATATAAATGTTTTTGAAACTATTTTCTATAAATACAGATAAAAATTCAGATGTATAAATATTTATTAGAAAATAGAATACTGGAAAATCTGAATCTAAACAAAGGAGTTATTAAACTTCATTTTTAAAATCTTAGCAAAGATTTAAATCAAAAACCAATTATAAACATCATATATGATTTTTTTAAAATACCCAACTGTTTTCAAAAATGTTCAGTCAATTTAAAAACAATATGATAAATAAATCAATAAAATTAACTTAAATAGTATAAAATACAGGAAAACAAATTATACTGATTGTTAAAATGAAGAAATGCTATAGTACATTAAAAAAAAGGCCTTATTTGAAGACACAGAATAAATAATGTAATTATTTTTGGGCTGCAATTTGAAAAAATTGTAGACCTATAAATTCCCGTTGTCTGTCCTTCCTTAACCCTTTATGGCCTGACGGGACTTTCTAGTCCCACTATCTTTGATATTTTTTATTTCATAGTGTATGCATTATAGCTTTCTGGGACTTACATTTTATCATTGTATAAAGTGTTCTTTTTTTCTTCTATAGGGTAGTAACTTTCAAACTGTTCCTGTTTTAGTTTTGTTGAAAAAAGTTTCACATTGTGTGTTGTCTGAATGGTAGTAGCTGATACTATATGGTAGTAGCTTTCTTTGTTGCCAAATTCTACTTAATGTTTTCAAGTTAAATGTCTTTGTATTTTTTAATATGTATTCTAGATATGTGTAGTTTGATTTTAATGTATTATGTTTGTAGAATTAATGGTTTGCAAGCTGTATGAAGTCAAAATATGTTTGGGACTTATAAGTCCNAAATTAGTTTTATTTTTATAAGTTTTTAAAGTAAAAATTTATTATTGTGAATGAATGAAATGGATTAAAAATAATAATAAATAAATTTATAAATCAAATATTGTATAAATAATTTTTAATGGTTAAATAATAATTATGCTTACACGATTTATATTAACATTTTTTCTTTTTTTTTTCCATTATTTAAAATAAAAAGTAAATTTTTATCAAAATCTGTTGCAGAGCGTAAAAGAACTCGTCGCATTCTATCGTACTTTGCGAATTATTGGCAGTTTTCTGTAAAGAATTTGGAAATGTGGGTAAAAGCTAAAGAAAAATACGTAAGTTTAGATTTCAAAAGCTATTTTATTTGGAAAATTTAAAAATTTATTTTTGGTTCTAAAAAGCATTATGAGTTTGAAATGAAATTTGAAGACTTTTTTATGGGGGAGTTCTTAAATAAGTGTCTGGGAATGGGTAATGTTTGTAGCTATGTTTCCATGCCCTTTAGATGAAACATTAAAACAAATAACTATTCATTTTATTATTATTATTATTATTATTATATATAATAAATACAACTGGCCCAATAGTTATTACAAATACCAAATGAATAACCAGGTTAGTCTGGAAGAGGAGATTGGATGGAGGTCTAGTATTGTGACTGGCAACTTGTCTGCATAGTAAGTGAGAATTGTGGGTTTGAATTTCCTTCCAGGCCGATCTTTTCTTCCAGAATATTCTAAAATTAAATTAAAATTAATTTATTTATTTATAATTATTGTATTTAACAAGAGACTGCAGCCAATCTCCTGCCGAATTGCTTAGTGATTATTAAGTCCTGTAGTCTGATAAAGAATCTGGCTGTTCATTTGGTAGTTCAATGAACAATTGTGTAATTTGAATAATATAATTTTTTATTTTTAAAAAGTGATTTTGTTTTATTTCTAATTTTAAATTGTGATTGCCTTTTGTTTTCTGTGTGTGATGTTTGATTTCAATGAAAAGAAAAAACTGAAGACTTAAAGGCAACATTCTTGAAAATATTTAGCATAATTAATATCCAAATGATGTTGTATATATGTATTTATATTTATCTTTTTTAAGTTTTTAGATTAAAAAGTTATTTTGGATGTGGATTCTTTATCTGTTAAAATGTTTAAATGTTAATTATTTATTGTGACATCGTCACAATGCCAGGCTGCAATTTTTAACCATGTTTTTAATTTATTTAATTTAAAATATATGCTCTCCAACTCAAATTAGTAATGTTTTGCCCCTGTGCATCATACTTTTTCTGTTAGCAATAGAGTCATCTATAATATCTATCTTTCAGGGAGAAATATTTGAATTGAAATAACATAACTTCCGGTTTGCATCAGAAGTTTGTATATAGTTAATAGGGGTCTCCTGCCTCTAAGGTTTCCATATCTGGTCTCATCTTTCATCTTACTCCATTCTCGAAATTAAGGAAAGACAGAGAATGGTGGTGGGAATTTATAGTTCTACAATTTTTTCAAATTGCAGCCCAATAAATTTTTCAAAAGTGTTTGTAAGGAGTCCATTCCAACTCATTATATTTTGTTTGGGGATTATTTTTAGTTTGTTAAGGATAGACTACCACACCTTGTTTGGACAGAATTGTTAATTCTAAACTCACCTTACTACAATGACTGCCAGCAGCAACCTATTATGTCGTCGAACCCAGAAACGACATCTTGGGAGAGACTTCTGGAAAGTTAAAAGAACAATCTACCACCCCAAATTGTTACCAAAAGGCACAATGAAAAATTTTACAAGATTAAATTAAGGGTGATGGCACAACTTAAAGAAAGTTTAGTAGAATTAAACAAATGTTAGCCACTTAAGTACATAAATAGGGTAATCGCGTAACACCACCACAATCACACTATGAGACAAATGTGAAGCTTGAGATCAAACGAGGAGGAGCTAATGATTGAGCAAGGTAAAAGCAAGGCTTTCAAGTTCCTTTGCTGACATAGAAGCTTCTTGGTGATGATCAGGCAAAGTTAATTTGTAAGATTTCCGTTTCATATTTTTACTTGTCGATTTTGTGGAGATAATTCTAAGATAGTTATAATTTAATCTATAAGTCCCCAATTGTTGGAAAAAGTTTCTTGTGTGTATATATATATATATGTACAGTACAGTACAATAATGAAATATAGGTTGGGGAAAAAGAAATCCATTATTTTGTCACTAGATGGTTGTAGTGATATATATCTCATGAAGTATTGATGAAACAAGTTCAGACTTGTGCTCATTGGAAAAGTGACATTTCGTACTAAAAAAATTCTTTTACAGTTTTTAGATTGGTCGATTCAGTTGTGAGTTACAGGGTGTAAAAGATGGAAGTTAACAGTGAGAAAATTCGGTATGTTTTACAATTTTGCTTCAATAAAGGCAAAAATGCAAGCCATGCAGCTGAAAATGTGAATGGTGTTTATGGTCCCGATACTGTCACAGCCAATTATATATGCAATTTTGATTTTGTCGATTCTGTTCTGGTAATTTCGATGTTAAAGATGCACGTTGCACAGGTAGGCCTGTTGTTGAAAATGTCGATAAAATCATGGAAATGATCAAACTAGACTGGCATGTTAGCAGTTGTAGCATCACCCAGGAGCTAAAGATTGACCACAAAACAGTTTTAAACTATCTGCATAAAGCTGGAATCAAAAAGAAGTTCAATATTTGAATGCCACATGGATTGATGCAAAAAACATGATGGATAGAATTTCCATCTGCAAAGCCTTGGCCAAACGGAATGAAATTGACCCATTTCTTAAATGGATGGTGACTGGGGATGAGAAATGGGTTACATAAGACAATATTATGTGAAAACAATCATGGTCAAAGTGCAGTGAAGTGGCTCAAACGGTGGCCAAACCAGGACTAACGGCCAGGAAGGTTTTGCTGTGCATTTGGTGGGACTGGGAAGGAATCATCTACTATGAGCTGCTTCCATATGGCCAAACACTAAATTTGGACCTCTACTGTGAATAATTGAACAATTTGAAGCTAGTGATTGACCAGAAGCGGCCAGAATTGATTGGCCAACAGGAGAGGTGTTGTGTTTCATCAGGACAACGCCAGTCCACACACATCTATAACGACTCACCAGAAACTCCAGGAACTTGGTTGGAAAGTTTTGATGCATCCATCTTATAGTCTGGACCTGGCACCAAGTGATTACCATCTTTTTTTTATCATTGCAAAACTTCCTTAGTGATAAGAAGTTGGCATCAAAAGATTGTGAAAATCACTTAGTCGAGTTTTTCACCAATAGTGACCAGGACTTCTATGAGAGAGGCATTATGAAGTTATCTTTAAAATGGCAATAAATTATAAAACAAAACGGTGCATATTTGACCCAAGTTGGACAAGACTTTATTTAACATGGTTTAGATGTTAAACAAAGTCTTGAAATAAATGTAAAAATAATGGATTTTTTTCCCAATCCAATATATATATATATATATATATATAAATCGAATTCCATAAATATAGTCTGTTTTTTATGTACACATAAATTTTCTAGTGTGTCATCATTTAATATTTGTTAGCATATCTATTTTTTCCTTTGAATAAAAATAAAATAAGTCTCTGTAATAAAATTTCAAAATAAAATGTAGGATACTAAATTGTCGAGGTATATAAAACAATTTTTATTTATGAATATAAAGATTAAATACATAAAGAAAATGTTATAAATATGCTTATAATTTAATTTAAAATATATGCTCTCCACTTCAAATTAGTAGTGGTTTGCCCCTGTAAATCATACTTTTCCGTTAGCAACAGAGTCGTGCCGGTAATCTATCTAACTTTTTTCAGGGGAAAATTTTTGAATTGAAATAACGTGACTTCCAGTTTGCATCGGAAGTTCATATATAGTTACTCGGGGTCTCGACTATCATTTAATTAACACCGTTCTCGAAATTAAGGAAGGACAGGCATACAAATAGACGACAGTGGAAATTTATAGGTCTAGAGTTTTTTCAAATTGCAGCCCAACAACGAATTGTAATGTATAAATTTATACAAGTTAGAGGAAAATATTCATAGAATAGTAGAATAATAATTGACGATATATTGCTTTTTAATCAAAATCCTCTTCTTGAAAGTAAAACAAAAGATAGAGTTACATTTTATC